TTCATTTTACAGAGTTTATATTCTACGATTGAAAATTGAAAAGCGCAAACTTACAGGTGGAGTTCCATCTAGAAAAACTGCCGCAATGCCGTTATTTAGGGTGAGATTGCTTTCTAAATTGCAATAACGAACGCAAAATGCACAATGTAAGTTGTTTTTCAAAAGCATGCGATTCAATTCAGAAGAGGCAGGCAGGTAGGTAGGTTTACTAACTGTAGATACAAAGCAAATTTTCACTTTGATGTTGATACACGAGTTCCTTTGCACATCAGTAAGCATATTGAAGATTCCAAGCCAATTATTCGTCAAAAGCGTTACAAGTTTGCGTACAAGAAGTACAGAGGGGCAATAAAACGAAAACTCGACTCTGACGTGACAACTTTTAAGAAGCTTCAATACCTTATTTTTAACTGATAGCTGTAAGGAGCTTTTCTACTCAAGTTTCCGTTGGATATAAAAGAAGCTTAAAAGAAATACATACAAGTGCGTCTCAATTATCCTATTAAACTTTTCACAACTCCTTTATCCATATTTACAATGCGTCCCATCATCAACTGGACGGATTTCTGCAGAACGGAACCAACCACAAAAAACAGTTATTGAGAATTAAGTGTTTAAAGTTAGCCTATAAATTTAAAAGTTACCAGTATATATAATGACAAATTGACCTACAACATATTTTGGCTAAAAGTACATACTTTCAACAAATGTAGGAACAATTTGGAGAAATTAGTATTTAGTCTGAAATTTTACATGTTTGTCGATTGTTTCCTTTCTGCAAAATTAAACTTAAGCATAACGGATTCAATGCCTTCTAAATTATTTTAAATGAGACTTTATAATTTATCAACAAACTATTGAATTTGAAACTAAATGTATCACAACTGAATTTGTATCGGGTTGTTCGGAAAATCATTTCGTTCATTTTTGTGGAAATGAANTATATATATATACTTAACCCTAGCACAAGCCACGCCCACGATCGTAAGTTACCCCAAAATCCGAAAATATACGTGGTACAGTTACTAAATACACGCAAACCAACATGACATGGAATAACACAATAATCGTAAATAGGTTACTAGTAAGAATGACCGACTGCCTTAGGAGCACGTCCGGGGTCCATTCCCGATCTATGTCACCTTCCTCTTCCTTCCTAAATTATGCTTGTTAATTTTTTACTAATTTCCTTTTTGAAAATTTAATGTATCTATAAGAATGTAATTTAAGAGAATTCTCTTAGTATTACCTATTGGTTATTTAAAAATGTTTTGTCTTGATTTCTGTCATGTTCGTAAAATTTTCTAAAAGAAACAAAATGAAGCATTGTTGCGAACAGGTTAATTGTGGTATTTTTAAAAATTTAACTGAAGCTTCGTTACATCCGGTGAGCCAATTAATCACAACAAAGTCTGCACATTACGTTGGAAACGATGTATTTTTTAGTACCCCGAGACGAACGTAGTTAACTAGTGCCTTTCTTTCCTTTCTTTACTTGATTTACAACACTTCCGTCCTAATTTTAACACCGGTCGTCGCGTCGAGAAAGAAGTAAAGCATCTAACTCTGATAAGGAAGTCATAAAACTGGCGGCCAATCTAACAAGGAATTACTCTAAATGCAAAAAAGGGCATAAAGATTTTAGTAGTAAAGTTTTAATTACTCCTTGTGTACATACATATACCAGCAAATGGGCTGAACGTTCGACGGAGGAGAAAACGCCCAATTTACCTCAAATTACGGACCGAATAACAGTTCTCAAACTACTACTAACAAGACATAAAACTAAATTAAATATTGTTGAAAAACTAAAAACCTCGAGCTATAGTTCCCACCGTTTTCTGTGACACGATGTCATCAAATTCACAAAAACTTTTTGTATTTTCTATGTGACTGTTTTTTATCAATTTGATGTACCCAGAGTTCTTTTAAGTTTCCTAATTAACAGAATTAATTGAATGAACAAGAATGTACGTTCAAAAGCACATCAGTATATTGCCTAGTATGTAATACAAATTCATTTTACAGAGTTTATATTCTACGATTGAAAATTGAAAAGCGCAAACTTACAGGTGGAGTTCCATCTAGAAAAACTGCCGCAATGCCGTTATTTAGGGTGAGATTGCTTTCTAAATTGCAATAACGAACGCAAAATGCACAATGTAAGTTGTTTTTCAAAAGCATGCGATTCAATTCAGAAGAGGCAGGCAGGTAGGTAGGTTTACTAACTGTAGATACAAAGCAAATTTTCACTTTGATGTTGATACACGAGTTCCTTTGCACATCAGTAAGCATATTGAAGATTCCAAGCCAATTATTCGTCAAAAGCGTTACAAGTTTGCGTACAAGAAGTACAGAGGAGCAATAAAACGAAAACTCGACTCTGACGTGACAACTTTTAAGAAGCTTCAATACCTTATTTTTAACTGATAGCTGTAAGGAGCTTTTCTACTCAAGTTTCCGTTGGATATAAAAGAAGCTTAAAAGAAATACATACAAGTGCGTCTCAATTATCCTATTAAACTTTTCACAACTCCTTTATCCATATTTACAATGCGTCCCATCATCAACTGGACGGATTTCTGCAGAACGGAACCAACCACAAAAAACAGTTATTGAGAATTAAGTGTTTAAAGTTAGCCTATAAATTTAAAAGTTACCAGTATATATAATGACAAATTGACCTACAACATATTTTGGCTAAAAGTACATACTTTCAACAAATGTAGGAACAATTTGGAGAAATTAGTATTTAGTCTGAAATTTTACATGTTTGTCGATTGTTTCCTTTCTGCAAAATTAAACTTAAGCATAACGGATTCAATGCCTTCTAAATTATTTTAAATGAGACTTTATAATTTATCAACAAACTATTGAATTTGAAACTAAATGTATCACAACTGAATTTGTATCGGGTTGTTCGGAAAATCATTTCGTTCATTTTTGTGGAAATGAAAGACAGTTTTCGTATAATAAACAAATACTTTATTAAATTATATATTGACCGTTCTGGTCCAACACCTTTTGCCATCTTTCTGGTAGTAGCATAATTCCACGCTCATAAAATTTTTGGTCTTTGCTGGCAAAAAACTGATCGAGGAGGTTTTTGACCTCCTCATTTGAGGTGAAGGTTTTACCGTCTAAAAAATTTTGGAGTGACCGGAACAAATAATAATCCGATGGTGCCAGGTCTGGAGAATATGGTGGGTGTAGCATTGTATCCCATTCAAGCTGTAAAAGCTTTTGGCGAGTGACCAAACTTGTGTGAGGTCTCGCGTTGTCTTGGTGAAACACTACACCTTTCCTGTTGATTAGTTCTGACCTTTTCTGTTGAAGTGCATCATTCAGTTTGTCCAGCTGATGACAGTAGACTTCCGAATTAATCGTTGTGTTATCCGGTAAAAGCTCAAAAAAAACGATTCCTTTAAAATCCCACCAAACAGACAGCATCACCTTTTTTTGGTGAATATCGGCTTTGGAAATGGTTTGAGCCGGTTCATCTTTTTTGCTCCATGACCTCTTGCGTTTGACGTTGTTGTATACAACCCATTTTTCGTCCCCAGTGATGATGCGCTTCAAAAACGGATCATTTTCGTGACGTTTGAGAAGCGAATCGCAGACGTCAATGCGGCGACACAGATTTCTCTCTGTGAGAACATGGGGAACCCATACATCGAGCTTCGAGGATAATCCCAGGCCTTTCAAGTGGTCATAAACTGTTGAATTTGATAAATTTAACCTCAATCCGATCTCACGTGTTGTTATTCGCCGGTTCACATCAACTAATGCCTTTATCGCGTCTTTATCAGCTTCAACCGGCCTTCCCGAACGTGGTGCATCTTCGACATCAAAATTGCCGGATCGAAATTTAGCGAACCAGTTCTGGCACTGGCGTACTGTCAACACACCTTCTCCATACACATCAGTCAATTTCTTTCTGGCTTGAACAGCATTTTTACCCTTTCTGTAGTAAAACAGTAAGATATGTCGAAAATGCTGCTTATCGCTCTCCATATTTAAAAGGGCACCAACCAAAAACTACTGCGTAGAATTAATTGGAATTTTTCACACACAAGCCTTGCTATATGAGCTCTCAAAGCATATAAAAATTATACGGCTTAAATGTGAAGTTGGGTGCAAAAGAATACAATTAAATCCTCTGTCGGGAAAAAACGAAATGACTTTCCGAACAACCCTATATATACCTGATTTGTATTCTCATTTAGTAACGTTTTCATTAGAGATGAGAAAGAGTTCATAAATTTTGAAATATTTACAGTACAATGAATAATCTATGAGGATTTGAATGGTAAATTGCTAGTAGTTGGTGTTTAAGACATATAGGATGAAAGAATTTAGAATCAATGGTGGTATCGGGATGTGATTCTTTATATAGTAAAACAAAGAAACTGTTTTCTTATTGTGTAAATTTTTGACGGTTACATCAAAAAAGTTAATGGAATTATTAACTTCATTTATTTCTTCCGGGAATTTTCTTCCGAGCGGGAATTTATTCCAGGAACTTTTTTTCCTAGAGGAAAATTTTCCGAGGGATTTTTTCCTTCATTCACAAAACGTAGCTTGACTCTTTGTGATGTTACTCGTTTTACTAAGTAAATTTCTAAAAATGCTTTTATACGGACTATTTCGTTTTAGTTCAAGTTTCGGTAAGGATGTTGCACGACAGGGTTGGAATTTACGCAAGCCCTAATGTACAGATTAAGTTCAGCCATAGCTTGGATTATCTGGTATTCTTAGTTTGCATCTCAAGGTTCGTAAAAGAACAAAACAGCTTACGTTAGTCCCGTAGACTGCACTATCGTTAAAAGCAAATTTAGTTTATTAGAAGAAGATATTACATTATAACGGAAAATTGGTTTCCATATACATTATTACTATTATTATTATGGTAGATAAACGTTTACATCAAGTAACTTGAAAGCTTTCGTTCAAAATCAATTTAGAAGTGTGCGTATAAAATTAGATATGCCTCGTCTTACCTTCCTTCCGGTTTCCCATAATCTGCCTTTCCGTTCCAGATTCACGGCGAAATTGCCCCATCTGCAAAACAAGAACATCTACTTGAGTCTTTGAATAAAAATACGTATAAAGTAGATACAGTGCTCGCGCTTTAACGTGGCACAGAAGCAATAAAAGTAGGAGATCGATGAGCGCTGAGGAAAGAATACTTAAAAACCACACCGATCAGCAACAATGAAGGTATAATTCACCAAAATTACACAGAATGTGATACTTCACATACTGATATCGTTTCCAACTCCTCTCAATTATTACACACGATCTCTTTAGATTCATCGCTTTTGTACCAAGTTAAAACACGAGAATAATACATATTCCTGAATATATTTTGCATAAGTTAAATCATTTAAAACAATATAAAACTTCACAAAATTATGAAATCAAGCAAATCTTAATAAATCCGTTATCAGTAAATGCGTTGTAGGTAGAAAAGTGATTACTGTAACGGCCTTTTCAGTTGTAGACGGGCCATATAAAAATGAGAAAACTTTGCCTAAATTCAAATTAAATCACCAACTCTAATACCCATGCACGGTGCTCTTTTTGCAACCAGTTGCTCTTTACATTTTCCATAATATTGGACCGAAATCTCCGACTTTTCCAATTTGAAAAAGTCGGATCGGATCTAGTTTACTGATGCAATTCGATTTGACGGCACTTTCTGTTAGTTTATTAAACTTTTCGCTTCGGTATGTACGTACATGTAGCATTCAGTGAATCGTTTAGGTACTTACTTCACTTTTAGCTTCTACAAAGTTGCTTCTCAACGCCGGGAAAATTTCACTACTTCTGGTGCATTTTCAAATGTCAAAGAAGAAAAAGAGATCACCTGACTTTAGACTTATCGGATAACGCAACGTTGAAATAGAATGTTATCGTTTAATCAAAATCTTTAATTAAAAATCAGCAATTTTGAGGTGTGTTCGAGGGAAAACTAAACAACTTGAGTAATGTAGGTGGGTGTATATTCGGCTGTATAGTTGGTTACATATACGTAGATTATAAAAATTTCGCAGATAAAGGGTAGCCATTCATATTTGGAAAGAAAACCTGATATTGTAGAATAATTTCTCAAAAGAGTACACGAAATTCTTAACACTCATTATACAATTATTCGTAAAATAAGCACAATTTACTAAATCAAAAATGAAATATTTCACAATCTGAATGTAGGTACAAATTTAGTTCGAAAGAAAAATGATTTAGTTTTCAATTTACAACTTATTTACTCATTCAAATTTCTAACAAATAATACAAAGGGTTGTTTACAATGAAAACCTGGAAATCAAATGTTTTATTTGTATATTACAATATTTTTATTTTCGGTTGACCTATTGTGTATTCTCCAAGCTCAAAACAATAACCGTTGAAGAACCCGTAGCACCTGTGTGTTTATTCTTTCTGTTACATTTTGTAGCTTTTCACACGCTTGTCAAAGCGTAAAAGCTCAAAAGTTTAACGTCTAGTACAAGGGCGGGTTTATACTTTTCTTGGGGGAGCTAAGAAACTTTTTCGTTGTAGATATATCGGTTTTGAATTTCTAGTTAAGTCATAGGACCTATTTCTCTCTGGATATACAGGGAGACCAAATAATCAACAATTGTTTTACGACATAATTATTCAATAACATATAAAATGTAAATTATATTTTATGAACGTTTTTAAAAACATTTTTGTTGCATACTCAAAATAGAGAATGTGGAATAGTATTTTCGGTATTTAGAAAGTCAAATAAGTAAAAGTGGGAGGAACAGTAGAGATATAGTTACTTCTATGATCATAAATGGTTAATTTAGAAATTCGAAAAAGATTGTTGATTGTATGTCTGGACCATGATGCTATACGGGTGAGAAACATGGACGGTGGGCGCGGCGAAAAAGAAAAGGTTAGAAGGTCTTCAATGTCCAGATTAAAAAGTAGCGGTGACAGTGTGCATCCTTATCTGACTCCCTTCCTATTATTTACTTCTTCCATCTCTGTAACTCATCTCTACATTTTTAAGTATATTTAACATTTTGTCCTATTTACCATTGTCAAAAGCTTTTTCTAAATCTACAAATCCTATGTACGCACTCTTTCCTTTTTTATCGTTTATCCGTACAGCTAGAATGTCCCCTCGCGTTCCTCTATTTCTTCTAAACCCAAATTGACCTTCCCCTAATAGTTCTTCCGCCCTTTTTGCCATCCTTCTCTGTACAATTCTAGGTTAAGATGATTATTTGCGGGACTCTAGACGTTACATTTGGAATTAATTTTTATTCCGAAGAAGTCTCAAGCCCCTTTCAGTGCCCCCACTAGATGCGCTAGTGGTATGTTGTAAAATATGAGGATAACTTGTTTCAGCGTTATTTTATTTCTGAGTAAATATTAAGAACCTCCGGGATGGTTCGACTAATCAGGACAAACAAATAAACTTATTCCCCTGATCGTCTTTTATTCAGTTTATACATTCGAATAAACAAGATGGTAAAAACGAAAGACGCCCTTCTGTCCACAGGTAACGTGGATGGGGTAGACAGGTTGTTTGATGCCTTTAGGCAACAAATCGAAAATTCACGGCGGTAACTCAAAATTTCGGTAACGGAGTATGGAAAGAAAACACCCCCGGGGTGTATAAGCTGTTAGAGAGTTGAAAGATGTTTGGACAAACGAAACGCTTTAATATATGGCCATATTGTCACCGCTTTCCCGGAAAATGTTCCCAATAAAGTGTCTCGAGGAAGCAAAAAGTTGTTTTGCTTACAAAAAGAACTATCAACCACTTTAGAGACATGTACTCACTTACAATTTATAATAAGTAGTTCAGTTCAATTTAAATGGAATATCATGACATTGTTACACCTTTCAATTACGGAAGGCAATTTGCGAACAGTAATCTAACCTAGGTCTACTTCTACCCCTTCTAACTTGCGTTTCTGCCTCTAATATGTCTTTGAGTAGACCCTCATTCCTGAGAAGGTGCCCTTCTAACCTATCTCGCCTATTTCTTATTGACTTCCATAGAGTCCTCTGTTCTCTTACTCTTTCTAATACCTCTTCATTTCTAACCTTCTCTATCCACGGTGTCTTCATCATTCGCCTGTAACACCACATTTTAAAGACTTCTAACCTTTTCTTTCCCGCCGCGCCCACTGTCCATGTTTCGCACCCGTACAGCTCCAAACATACGCCTTCAACAATCTTTTTCGAATTTCTAAATTAACAGTTCGCGAGCATAGACGTGACTTCTTTTTATTGAAGGAGACTCGATCCAGCGCTATCCTCTGCTTTTTATCCCTACCACTCCTTCCGTCCTGACTTATTTGTCTTCCTAGATACCTAAAAACGGCCACTTCTTCTAATTTTTCGTCTCCTATCTTTATATTCGCTCTTTCCCTACTTCTTATTCCCTTGTATACCAGTATTTCTGTTTTACTTTTATTTATTTTCATACAGTACTGTTTTATCAATATCGCTTCCACTTTGTTTAAAGCTTTCTCCAACTCCTCCTTGCTAGATACTAATACTGCTATATCATCGGCAAATCTAAGCATACTAATCTTTTTAAACTAAAAATGGTGACAGTGTGAATCCCTGTGTGACTCCCTTCCAAATATTTACTTCTCCACGTTGCAGCCCCATCTCTATAACTGCCTGTTGCTCTTTGTACAAACTAAGTATCACTCTTCTATCTCTCTAACTCATCCTTACATTTTTAAGTATATTTAACGTCTTTAACGAGTTAAAACATAATTCCAGGAGACGAGTGTATGACGGTGGTTTTGGGTCAGAGGCCGGCGACTTATTTCTTTCTATCTTCTAGTAGTGATCCGATATTTTTTATAATTATTACTTATACACCGATTTTAAAAGTTGAATTGATCTATTACGTTCACAAAGTTTGTAGACGGTACCACGAATCGAATGCAAAAAAAAACCGCATCTCAATCCGACTTTCTGCACAAGGTTCAGAATTCGAATTTCCCCGACTATAACCAATTTTATTAGTGAATCACTTTTGTCTGGAGATGAAGATGGTCTTCTCTCCATTACCGTCTTCGATATCTCCAGGAGTTGAAACATCGCTGACGCTAACTACACCCTCGTCAAGATGTGGATAGGAGACGTTTATCCCTGGGTCATATTTTAAAGGACCCGGAGCGCCAAGCTCTCTCTACCCATGTCACCAAAAGGGTACCTTACAGCGTCCGGTAAAGACGTACGATCTCAGCCGGCTAGATCGTTTGATTTATTTTCCATCGAACAACTGTGTTTGCCAGACATTTACGATGTATTAAATGTCATTCTTAAAACGGAACGAAAAAATAAAAGAAATTCGGTTGTTGACGTAAAATAATTTCTCGGATATTGTTTTCTTACTAATAGTGTAATAAAAGAAAAAAATTATTAACTTGAAAAATACAGATCTAAAATCCGACATTTTTGCATGAGTAGATTGAATACAAAACGTCTAAAGAAATTAGATATTCTATTGGGTTTGTTTTTCTAAGAAACTTGCTGTTTTTTTTGAATGTCAAATAAAATTACGAAAATCCAATTTTGTCGAAAACGAAACGAAATCGAACGCATATAATTAGGAGCGCCGCAAGAGTCAAGAATATATCAATTTTTTCTTCTTCTGTCTTGAAACGAATACGATATCAACAACAAGATACGAGACAATATCAACTCCAGAAACTTATCCTATCAAGAGCTCTTACTCAAGATTTGGAGTTATTTTTGAGCACCAAATGAACAAAGAAATACAGATACAATAAATGGAAGAACAAAAAGACGTCAAAAATTTCCATTTGTAGTCTTCTAGTGACAAACGTATTTTTTGAAGTTTTACTTTTAAGTCTTTTTTAGTTTAAGATTTCTCAATTGTATAGAAAAATACACACAATACTGTAGTACAGAATTCCTCATCGATAGTTTTCCAGTAATTAAATTAGCAATTAATACTTTTTTACCAGTTTCTCCTTTGCGTTCTTTTCTTCTTTTCTTATAACAATCGATTTGTTTTCAAGGGTTTATAAAGC